CCCAGGCATGGCCCTGACTGGGAATCGAACTGTGACCTCCTGGTTTATAGGTCAACGCTCAACCACTGAGCCACGCTGGCCAGGCTGACTGGCTGGCCCTTGAAAGGAGCCGACCCAGTCAATGCCGGCCAACCCCAGGAATTGGTCCGCTCTCCCATCTACCTTCTCTCCGAGGTCCTCTCCAGTTCTGTGGTTTTAGGAATCAACAGATTAACACAAAATCAGACCTCCAGCCTTAATCGCTCTCTGGAATTCAACTCAAATACAGAGATGTCTACTCCACCGGACAACTAAGAGGTACACGAACCCGGCACGTCTAAACTAGACCCTGCACACGCCACCTCGCCCCAGCTCTCTCGACCTCACAAATCACATCACTACCTACCCAGTGGCTCAGGGCAAGTTCCTCTCTCTCCCTGGCTTCCCTACATCAGACTCATCAGCAAGCCAAGCCACCTCTTCTTCCAAAACACACCAGAACCCACAGACTCCTCCCTATGCGTATCTGCCGCCAGGATACAAGCCATTGCCACCGCGTCCCAGGACCATAGCAACAGTGTCCACAGAGTTCCTGCTGCCACACCGGCCCCAGAACCCGGTCGCCACCCAGCAGATACGATCTTTCACAAACGAAAATTCACTTCACATGACTCCCCGATTAAACCCTTCCAACCTCTTCCCATTGTGCTTGAACGTAAAACCCAGCCTCTGGGGCTCCTCGAGGGTGCCATGACCCTCCTTCCCACTGGGCTCCTCCCTGCCCTCTGCCCCTCCTCCCGCCGCATCACACCCTGGGGCCTTTGCAGGTTTTGTGGCTTGAAATTAAATGTTCTTCCTATCTTTGCAGGAAGGGCTCTGATCTGTCCATTCAGATCGCAGGTGAGACGCCACTTCCTCACGAAGAGGCCCCCCTGAAAACCATCTAAAGAAGTGAGCCCCCCCACATTCATCACAGCAGCTTATTTTAATTAGTGCGTAGGGCTGGCATTTTCTTATTTATCGGTTATTGTAGGTCTCTTCCCACTGGAACATAAATATCATGAGAATAAGAATCACATTTGTCTTCTGACAATTACACGGAGGTAGCCCGGGGCCTAGAACGCTCCCCAGTGCCTATTAAGCCCTCAGTAAACAGATGTTGGGTGAATGGATGGATGGGGTGGGTGGCTGGATTAATGGAAGGGATACAAGGAGGAGAATAAGAGAGCGGGAGGGCGGGAGAGAGGAAGAAAGGAAGGAAGGAGAAGTTATGGACTCCTGGGGCAAGTTATTAACTCAATCAGCCTCGGCTTCCTCTTCTCCTCCATGAGTCACATCGGCACTGACGTGAAGATGTACTTGGGCTCGTGTTGGTTCAGGACACGACATGAAGAAGGTGCTTAACAGGTAGGAGCGGGATGAGAATATGGCCAGAGGTGCACGTCGCCCAGAAACAAGCCTCAGATGCCAGGGTGCGCGTGTCACCAAGGCGGCCCCCCAGGAGCGACAGAGAGCGGGGCAGCATCTCAATCTCTGCCAAACCGGACGGTTTAAATTAAATTCCATCGCTGCTACGAGCACAGGGACCCTCATGCCCAGAGCAATCCACTCCTGGTTCCAGAACTGACAGGGCTCCTTCACTGTGGGCTGGTGACTTGCTCCTCATCTGCAGGACGGGAGAGTAACAGCACCGGCTGCTGTGACTGAGTTCGCACAGCAACGCCCTTCGCAAGAAGCCTGCAGAGCGAGCCCTCCGCAGCGGCTAACTCCCTGTCAACCACGGAGACCAGTCCGATCTGCATGGGGAACCTTCGGCCCCACCTGTGCACCTGCAGCAAGACAAGGTGACTGTGCAAACACCTGCCCCCCAGCCAAGCACAGGTGACTGTTTATTTAAAATCTCTTAAGACAGCCCCGAGAACCAACCCCGAGAACCAATTCTCAGTGGCGGCTTCAAGCTAAAAATCATCATCAATATGTAAACGTGTTAAGCCGTTCTTGTCTAATGATTACTCCCTAATGATTTCAGCGATAAATATAACAAGCCTTTTTTGACAGTTTGTGAAATTAAGTTTCAGAGGAAAAATATGCTATTATCATCCAGCCACCGTAGCATGTCGCCCAGAAACAAGCCTCAGATGCCAGGGTGCGCGTGTCACCAAGGTGGCCCCCCGGGAGCGACAGAGAGCGGGCGGCATCTCAATCTCTGCCAAACCGGACGGTTTAAATTAAGTTCCATCGCTGCTACCAGCACAGGGACCCTCATGCCCAGAGCAATCACCGGCTGTGAACGGCCGCTTTACTTTGTTCTGGGCACTGCTACCAGCTGGCCAAGTGTCCTAAGGGGCAGCAGACTCCAGAGCGATGCCGGCGAGTCTGAGCAGTGGGAGGGAAGACACCGGGCACACAAAGGTCAGTAGCCAGAAAGCACTGGGGTCGATGGGGGGTCCATTGGTTCCCCGACACTAGGGGCTGGGGAACAATTGGCCCTGCGGACCCATGGGCCCGCCCCCCACACACACCATAAGGCCCGCAAAATCATTCGGTCTGGCCCTGCCAAGGCATTAGGAGCTCATTAAATGTGTGACCGAACAGAGCAGGCTGATTTCTAAGCTGATAATTTTGTGTGGCCCGAGAGTGATGTTACGCGGTAAATATCCAAATGGCCCTTTGGCGGAAACCAGGTTCCCCACCCCTGCCCGACACACACCAGGGAGAAGCCCTCGGTCCACTGCTCAGCAGGGGCGCAGGCCTCCCCCGGAGCAGTGGCAGCTTCCCTGCCCGCGGCCTCTGGGTTGACTGCTGCTGGTCACTCGGGCCATGGGCTCTGAGGGCCTCTCACCACCGAGGGAACCGCACCAGGCCACCGGAAGGGCGCGTCTTGGTGGAAATGTGACATGTACAGCGTGAGCCCTCAACAGCTTTCCTCTCGCCCAGGTTATGCACTCTGTGCTTCCGCTATGGGCCAGGCACCGAGCGACAAAGGCGAATGACGCAGACCCCGTTCTCAGGAAGCCCACGTTCAGTCGCCCCACAAATATTTATAAAATGCGTACATTTCGCTGAACCGGTTTGGCTCAGTGGATAGAGCGTTGGCCCGCGGACTCAAGGGTCCCAGGTTCGATTCCGGTCAAGGGCATGTACCCTGGTTGCGGGCACATCCCCAATGGGGGGTGTGCAGGAGGCAGCTGATGGATGTTTCTCTCTCATCGATGTTTCTAACTCTCTATCCCTCTCCCTTCTTCTCTGTAAAAAATCAATAAAATATATATTTTAAAAAATGCGTACATTCCAAACACTGCCATTAGGTGCTCGCACTTGGATGGAGGCAGCAGACAGTGTACAAACAGGTATACCCACCACCAGGGGCCACAAGGGCAATGCAGCAGCACAGGCGAGGGGCAGGGATGAAGGGTGTGGGAGGAGAGGTGGGGTGACAGCTAAACAGGACCTGAATGAAGTGACAAAGCCAGCCCCGCAGACACCTGGGAAAGAGCCTGTGGGCTGAAGGCGGCGGGTCCAAGGCCAAGGTGGGCATGAGCTGGGCGTGTCTGCAGAACAGCACTGGGGCGGGCCTGACAAGACACTTTCATTCTTACCTGGGGCACCTGTGACAGGTCTTCCTGCGTCCACTCTGGTCCCTGGAAGCTATTCTACAGGGCCCCTTTAAAACTTACATCCCGGTGAATGGCTGGACAAATAGTGACACGTCCATACCACAGAATACCACTGAGCAATGAAAAGCGAACTGCTGATGGTGCAACCGCACGGGTGAATCTCTTTGACATTCCGCCGAGCGGAAGCAGCCAGACAGAGATGCACATACAGCAGGATTCCACGGACACAAAACTCTAGACAACGCTCATCTGACACGACAGAGAGCAGATGGACGTTGCCAGGGACGTGAAGGGGGACTGCTGATTGGGAAAACACAGGAGAACCTGGTGGGTGATTAAAATGTTCTAGATTGGGTTGTGGTAGTGGTTATGTGGCTTCGTACTGTAAACCCTGAGGACTAAGAAGGGCTCCTGGTGGTTACTTGGTCTTAAAAAAACAACAGAGCCCAGCAGCCACTTCTGCACAGAGGCCTCTCATGCAAACAGCACTTCCCAGAGAAGGCTCTGGGCTGAACTGCCCGTGTCCACTGAAGGGCCTGCCTGCACGGTACTTCTGACCTCTGAGCCAGCCCTTAAAAGTTCTTGGAATCCTATTTCAACCAATAGGACTGAGGCTTTCCCCATCCAATGGGAGCTGCACAGCTCCAACCCATCAGGGGCAGTTCTATTCTGACCAATCAGGGACGAGGGGCCAGGAATTCTGGCTATAAGCCAGCTCCTCTCTGGCTCTGGGGGTGCCCATTTTCCACCTAAGACTGAAAACTGGGTTTACTGGCTGAAGATGGTTCCGAGAGGGCAGCGTGGAGCCGACCTGCAGACCGTGGCGGGCGGAGTGGGACAGACTGGGGCAGACACTGCAGAGTGGGCCATGGCAGAGTGGAGCTGCCCAGCTGGAGAGGCTGGTCCCAGGACCACTGGCTGGGGCAGCCGCACTGCCACCCTGCAGCATGGTGGAGCTGTCTGCACAGCAGCGGCCATGCTGCACTAACGCAGAGCTGTTTACACCCAAATTTCCTTCTTCACTGCACCCCAAATTGTGCATTCCTGTTGGTTTTTGAATTGGCACCAACGACCATCTGCTGACATGACATATGTCAAAATTCATCAAACTTTATGAAGCCATACTTCACTAGTGTGCTTAATACTTCAATTAAGTTGGTGTTTTAATGTAAATTGGTTAATTCTGGTTACCTTGCTTCCTGCCCAAACTCTCTCTTTTTTTTATTCCTCACCCAAGGATATTTTTCCATTATTTTTAGAGAAATGGGGAGAGGCAGAGAGAAATATCGATGTGAGAGACACACATTGATTGGCTGCCTCCTGTACCTGCCCCTACCAGAGCCAGGGATCGAGCCTGCAACCGACGTACGTGCCCTTGACCAGAATCGAACCCGGAACCCTTCGATTTGTGCACCGGTGGGGTCCCTTGGCCTGGCCTGCGCCCTCTTGCAATCTGGGACCCACCCTGGCCGGAAAGGGACCGTGAGAGGGCACCAGGGCATGTCTGGTCCATCTCACCCAGTCCCGATTGGCTGGACCCCAACAGCAAGCTAACCTACCGGTCAGAGCATCTGCCCCCTGGTGGTCAGTGCATGTCATAGCGACTGGTCGAATAGTCAAAGGGTCGGAGGGACAATTAGCATATTAGGCTTTTATATAGATGTAAACATCAATCACAGATGAATTAAGTTATGTATTATGATTGATCGTTTTCATTCTTACACAATCTTTGCCCCAGGAATTAACTGCTTTTTCCTCCCTCCATTTACTACTTGGATCTTCTTAAATCTCTGGCTCAGTTTTCCCACCCACCAATAGCTCTTTATCAGACCTCTCCACTCAATTTTCCATTTTTCTTCATGCAACTATAATCCTACAGTCTCACACCTTCCTGCTCTGTCCTGGACTGGCTGCTGCACAACTCTCTACCCCTCTGTCATCATCTCGGAAGTCTCAGACCCCTCTCCTGGGTTGGATCTCCTAGATCACCTGGTTGTTTAGCTTACTGCTCCATTTTATTGGAGCACATCCCTCTGTAGCTTTCTGAGAACAGGTACATGAGGGATATATTTCTGAGATTCTACAGTTCTTTTTTTTAAGAGAGAATGGATTTGTGGTTGGACATCATCTTCCCGCAGAATTCAATGACACCACACAATTCCATACCCTTCCATGTAGATTCTCATTCTGAAGCTTTATCCCAGAATTCTAAAATACTTCTATAATGTGCCCTGGTGTCCATTTTTATTTTCCTGTCACTTATCCTGGGCACTCATTGGTGGTTCTCACTCTGGAAACTCATATTCTTTACTCCTGAGAGAGTGGATGCCACTTGATACTTTCTCCCTCGTGTTGACCTGAACTATTCCTGGACGTGTATGTTGCACTGCTGAAGCTGATTCCCCAATTGTACCTTTTCTCCTCTTGAAAACAGTTTTACTACAAAATATTCCAACTGATAAATCCTCTCCCCAAAAAGCATGATAAAACTTGACACAATCGTGAAAAACAACCATTTCAGGCCCTGGCTGAGTGGCTCACATTTGGCTGGAGTATTGTCCTGGGTTCAATTCCCAGTCAGGGCACATACCTAGGTTGTGAGTTCAATCCCTAGTTGGGAGGCAACTGATTGATGTTTCTTTCTTTCTGTCTACCTATCTCTTCCTCCTTTCCTTCCTTCCTCACTCCCTCTCCCCTTTCTTCTAAAATCATAAAAATATATCCTACAGGGAGGATTAAATACACAAAACAAAAACAAAGACAACCATTTCAGGATTCTGGAAACTGACCAGAAACATACAACAAATGGAGAGTGTCTATTTTTAAAGTTTGCTCAGTGGTTAGGGCGTCGGCCCAGACTCAAGGGTCTCAGGTTCGATTATGGTCAAGGGCATGTACCTCCATTTCAGGCTTGATTCCCAGCCCCCCTCTCTCACATTGATGTTTCTCTCTCTCTCTCTCTCTCTCTCTCTCTCTCTCTCTCTCTCTCCCTCCCTCCCTCTCCCTCCCACTCTCTCTCTAAAAATCAATGGAAAAAAAATATCCTCAGGTGGAGGATTAACAACAACAGAAAGTTTCCCTAATTTCATCCACAGCCCCCCGATGAGGAAGCACCAGCCCCCAGAGCGGAGAGCCTGGAACATGTACCTGCAGCTCCTGGGGCCTCTGGGCCCCGTCAGGGGGCCGCCTGGGAGAGCTTCTGCAGGGATTCACATACAGTTTCCGATCGTGGAAGAGCTTCCCGTTCAGCTCCTGGATCGCAAGCGCCACTCTCTGCACCGAGCCCAGGTCCACGAACGCGAAGCTGCAAGGAGGGACACAGGGCAGCTCTGAACACATCGCGGGACAGAGCTGTGGGAGGCAGACAAGCCCCAACGCAGGTACTCTCCTCCCCTTCCAGCCAGAGGGGGGCGCTGCAGGCACACAAACAAGTCACTGAGGCCCAGGCTTGGGCTGGGCTGAGCAGCAGGGATCAGAAGACGTGTGTGTGTGTGTGTGTGTGTGTGTGTGTGTGTGTGTGTGTGTCTGTGTGTGTGTGCGCGCGCGCGCGCGCGCGCGCCCTGCCCAGTTGCTAGAGCGTGGCTAGAGTGTGGGCCTATGGACTGAAGAGTCCCAGGTTCGATTCCGGTCAAGGGCATGTACCTTGGTTGTGGGCACATCCCCAGTAGGGGGTGTGCAGGAGGCAGCTGATTGGTGTTTCTCTCTCATCGATGTTTCTAACTCTCTATCCCTCTCCCTTCCTCTCTGTAAAAAATCAATAAAATATATTTTTTAAAAAAAGAAGTGTGTGCGTTGACTCTGCCGCTAAACACCATCTGGCTACATAGGGCTTGGGGTTTCTTTCCTACTACTCCCCCCAAAGGTCAAAGCGCTCTTACTGCCCTGAAAATAAGAAAGGGGAAATATGAGTAGGCCCAGTTTCCAGGGGCAACCGAGGCTACGGATGGTCTGGTCATCTACCTCAAGACATAAAACAGAGCAAGGATGTTACAAAAAAATAAATCCAGGCCTCTGGACTCCTAAACCAAGGCTGTGTGGGCCAGACAAGTCCAGGGGGGGCTTCCAGATGTCACTGGGCCAAGTCCCAGTGGGTGTGGGCCTGGGAGCTCAGCGGCCAGTCTGCAATGTCCGTGCATCAGCAGAATGGACCAAAAGGAAAGGAGTCGCTTCCCAAAGAAAACACAGGAAGTGCGGTCATTACCATTTGTAGCCACTCTGGACCCTATGGACACGGAGAGGGTTGAAGTCCTTCAGCAGGTACCGAATTTCCTCCTACAAAGGCGGGGTTTGCAAGAGAAAGAGACCCAGAGACGAAAGTTACAACGGGTTCTCAAGGTTTCAGACCCCCAACCAGCCAATCTGTAACCAGCGGAACACATACTTCATGGAAAGCCTATGGCGTGCTGTGTGTGCCAGGTTTTGTGCTGAGTGATGCAAAATACAGAGGCAAGACAGACATGTCCTTCCTTCAAAGTGAAGCTCATCGGTCCAGCGGGCTACAGACAAGACAGCGAACAGACCAGGGGGCAGAGTGAAGTCTGAGTAAGAGAGGTGCAGGCCAGGGGAGGGCAGGCAGCGTGCTGAGGGACAGGGCTTTTGTCTCCGCTCAGCCTCCCCTCAAGCTGCTCACGCACCTTCTCTGCAAGTCTCCCGCCCACTTTCCTCGTGGTAGCCTGGCCTCCGCTGCGCCCAGGGCTCCGGTCACCTTCCCCCTCTCTGGGCATTTCTCCACACCCGCTCTCAACCCTTCCTCCTCCTCTGCCCTCCGGCTGCCTCCCTTCCCAGTGGCTACTCCTTCCACTGGGCTAGCGAGGGCCCCTCATTCCACATACATACCACCCCCTTTCTTTGAGCTAACGTCTCCAGGACCCTGATGGCCTTCTGAGCTACACCCTACCTTTCCTCTTTTCTGCCACATCATCTCCTCCTAACGCCTCTGTGTCCTCTCTGCCCACTCCTTCCTAACTGCCTGCAGTCTGGCTCCTGCCCTGCTAAAAATGCTTTCTTTTTTTTTTAATTTTGCTTTTTTGTTTGTTTTGTTAGTCCTCACCATGAGGGAGTGGAAAGGAGGGAGGGAGGGAGGGAGGGAGAGAGAAGCATCTATGTGAGAGAGTCACATGGATAATTGCATCCCGCACACCGGGCAGGACCAAACATGTAACCCAGGTACATGCCCTTGACTGAGAATTGAATCCACGGTGCACAGGCCAACACTCTAACCACTGAGCACACCAGCCAGGACGAAAGGCTTTCTTTACGGTGCCCGATGTCTCCCACTGCCCACCGGGGAGCGTGCTGCAGGCCTCCGCTCAACTCCTACTTTCGCCTCTCCTCACAGCCTCCTTCCTGCTTCCCTCCCAGCACACTGCACTTGGAAATTCCACAACTGTGATAAAAAAACATTTTTTACCTAGGAAATTCTATTTTGGAAAAAATGTGTGACATTTATACAATCTTCTTTTAAAAGCAGCTTTTACCAATCTAAAGTCACTTTGTTGGGTGAGGAAATTAGACATACATTATGTATAACTCATTTTTCTCAGTCTTCATGTTTATATTACATTTAAATTCAAATTTTCTAATTTGCTTTTACTTTTAAATATTTAATGTTTATTACACATGAATCTACAAGATGCTGAGCAACATGCAATTTGTCAGGACAAGCAATATGTGCTTAGCATTTTCAGTTTATAAGGCACCTTCACCAACCTTATTCCATTTGATCTTTAAAATTATGCCCTGACTGGTTTGGCTCAGTGGATAAAGAGTCGGCCTGCAGACTCAAGGGTCCCGGGTTCGATTCCGGTCAAGGGTATGTACCTTGGTTGCGTGCACATCCCCAGTGGGGAGTGTGCAGGAGGCAGCTGATCGATGTTTCTCTCTCATCGATGTTTCTAACTCTCTATTCCTCTCCCCTCCTCTCTGTAAAAAATCAATTAAAAATATTTCTATAAAATTACCCTGTAAAGTACACATTATTATTGTCCTCATTCTCAGAAGCATATAATAAAGATCAGAGAGGCTAAGTGACTTCCCTAAGACTACACAGCCAATGTAGAGTCAGGATTTGAACCCAGGGATTCTAACTTCAAATCCTACATTCTTTTCATTCTCTGCAAAACCTCAGCTGTCTTCTTTTTAGGTTTTACCAATTATTAGAGTAGAAAACTACTTCATATTTTTGTATCTTCTTTAGCAGGTGTCAGGAAACCACAGCCTCAAGCCAAACCCAACCTACCACCTTTTTCTCAATAAAGTTTTATTGGAACACAGCCACACACGTTCGTTTACTTATTGTCTAGGCTGCTTTCAGGCTACTACCCCAGAGGAGAGCATTTGCGACAGAGGTACATGATCTGCAAAGCATAAAATATTTACTATCTGACTCTTCGCGGAGAAAGTCCGCCAAGCCCGGCTCCCTGGCGATGGTTCTCAGTGCTGACTGCAAATGAGATTCTGCTGGACAGTTACTTTTCTTTGGGGTTGGGATTAAAGCATCAATATTTTTTAAAAGCTCCCCAGATGGTTTTAATGTGCAGCCAAGGTCAAAAATTACTGTTCAATGGTATCGAGCAGATACAGGAAGTACCACTTTTCAGAAAATGTGCCTGAGGGTGAGAGGAGAGAAAAACCACCACCACACACACACACACACACACGCACACACACAAAGGCAAAATACAAAACCCTGCCAACATCTTTCCATCCATTGGGACTTCAACCAATGCTCTCAGTGAGGCCGGCCCATCAGCAAATGCTGTTACTGTTAACAGTTGTCATTAGGGACTCCTGAAACCTGAAGACATGCCCTAACTATGACTTTCTGCCCCTTATACGGTAGTTGTCCCCCCTTATCCACGGATGTGTATTCCAAGACCCACAGTGGATGAACTGCAGACAGTACCAAACCCTATATACTATACTGTTTTTTCCTATACATACATCTACTCTAATAAAAGCCCATGTGGTCATCACGCCCTCACACCGTGATGCCCTCACGCCGTAACAATCCATCACCAGGAGGCTGCGTGCGAGGTGAGGTACTCGGGTGGGCGGGGACTTGACGCAGTGTGTGTGCAGTGCGGAGGCGGGACCCCCGGCTCCGGCCTACCTCTTTGGGGCAATCCATCGAGGAGCCCTGGGTGGGTGGGCTGGGCCTACCTCTTTGGGGAGATCGATCGCGGGGCTCCTGCACTATGAGAGGGCACAGGCCAGGCTGGGGAACCCCTCCCCCCCCCAGTGCACGAATTTCATGCACCGGGCCTCTAGTACCTATAATGAAGTCTAATCTATAATTAAGCATAATAAGAGATTAACATATAGCCCGGTTGGCGTGGCTCAGTGGTCGAGTGTCCACCTAGGAACCAGGAGGTCACAATTCAATTCCCAGCTGGGGCATGTGCCCAGGCTGCAGTCTCAATTCCCAGTAGGAGACATGCAGGAGGCAGCTGATCAATGATTCTCTCTCATCATTGAAGTTTCTATCTCTCTCTCCCTCTCTGAAATCAATAAAAATATATATTTTTAGAAAAGATTAACATTTACTACTATAATAGAACAATTATAACAATATACTGTAACAACAGACACACAAATGGCCAATAAACACATGAGCAGATGCTCATTACTTAAGGCAGCGGTTCTCAACCTGTGGGCTGTGACCCCTTTGGGGGTCAAACGACCCTTTCACAGGGGTCGCCTAAGACCATCGGAAAACACATATATAATTACATATTGTTTTTGTGATTAATCACTATGCTTTAATTATGTTCAATTTGTAACAATGAAAATACATCCTGCATATCAGATATTTACATGACGATTCATAACAGTAGCAAAATTACAGTTATGAAGTAGCAACGAAAATAATGTTATGGTTGGGGGTCACCACAACATGAGGAACTGTATTGAAGGGTCGCGGCATTAGGAAGGTTGAGAACCACTGACTTAAGGAAATCAAAACCACAATGAGATACCACTTCACAGCCACTAGATGGCTACAGTAAAAAAGACAGCTTTTGGCGAGAAAGTGGAGAAATTGGAACGCTCATACATTGCTGGTGCCACTGTAAAATGGAACAACTGTTTGGAAAACAGTTTGGTAGGTCCTCAAAAAGTTAACCATAGAGCTATCATGTGAGCCAGTAATGCCACTCCTGAGTATATACCCAAGAGAAATGAAACCTATGTTCACACAAAAGCTTGTACACCCATGTTCAGAGCAGCATTACGCCTAACAGCCAAAAAGTGGAAACAGCCCCAATGACATTGAATGACGAGTTGATAAACAAACTGTGGTATATCCACGTAATAAAATATCATCAGTCATAAAAAGGAGTGAGGTGCTGAGATGTGCTATAACGTGGATGGACCCGGAAACATGCTACCTGAAGGAAAACACAACATGCCACAGGTTGCATGATTTCATTTCTGTGAGATGTCCAAACAGGCAAATCCACAGAGACAGGAAGTAATTCATGGTTTCCAGGGACTGGGAGGAAGAGGAAGGGCTAATGGGTACGGGATTTATTTGGGAGAAAATGAAAATGTTCTTGAATTCAGATGTTGGCACAACCTTGTGCGTATACTAAAAGCCACTGAAATGGAATGTGATTTATATCTCAGTTTTTAAAAATGTTAATACAATGAAAAAAGATGCTGGCTACTAACTGTGATGAGTAACAAATCATCCTGCATCTCTGACCCACAACTTGCATCTTCTACCAACAGCCATGAGACGGCTACAGGCTAATTTGTTGGTTTGCAAGGAGAGTCAAGTCACAGTTCTCAACAGGACATTTAGGAATTCTTTCTAGAATCCGACCCCGTTAGCTGAAGTCTTTTCTCGGAGGCTGGGCTGAGTCCACAGGTCTGTGGGAGAGGCTGTTTGTTTCCTGTGGAAGGGATGGGGGCCAAAGGCCAGGTGCTAGGCTTTGAAGTAGGCTCTGCTCCAAAACAGGGTGCACTGGTGCCTCGGAGAGGAGCGATAGAAATCCTCGGACAGTTCTGCCTTCAAGCATTAAGAGGGTTTTTATTGCCCTAACCGGTTTGGCTCAGTGAATAGAGCGTCGGCCTGCGGACTGAAGGGTCCCAGGTTCGATTCCTGTCAAGGGCATGTACCTTGGTTGCGGGCACATCCCCAGTAGGGGGTGTGCAAGAGGCAGCTGATCGATGTTTCTAACTCTCTATCCCTTTCCCTTCCTCTCTGTAAAAAATCAATAAAATATATATATATAAAAGAGGGTTTTTATTTTGAAGGCTGCCTTCACCAGGCCTTGCCTCTTGGCACCTTGCCTCCCCCGACCAGACCACCCACCGCAGGACCTGCCTGCAGGGGCTCCTGTCCCCTGCTGCTGTCCAGTAGCAGGTTCTGCCCGCTAAGAAGAGGAAGGGGAATCAGGTGCCAAGAATCCCCCACCCACCCCTCTGATTGAATATGATTTCATTTATTGGGTCAACAGAAATGACTCCGTTCTGTGTTCCAATATCATTTTCGTCTCTCTTTGTCAGATTAAAAAAAAAACAAACCCATAATAGATCCACTTTTATTATGGGCGAGTTATTTACATGTCTTATCGATTATGTGGTTTGGTACTTGGGGGCAACTAGATATGGATTCAGCTCTTGGCTGACCTCACTAGGTCTGTGTGCTTGGGCCTCTCACAGAACTTGGCAGCCCCACCTCCAGGGTGAAGGGAACACCCACTGCCCAGAGTTATTACACGAACTTGACAAAACCACACGAATGAAGCATTTAGCCTATTTCCTGGCGCATGCCTGGTAATTAAAATATAGTAAGTGGTGTGAAAGGAATAAAATACAGCCTGGGCAGAGAGGACTGAGTGTCACTGACTGGCAAGGGGGAACGGAGAACAGGGAGTGTTTGAAGATGTTTAGCTTGCAGCAGGGGCCCCACAAGGATGATTTCTCTCATCCTCCCACATCTGAGCTCCTTGAGGGTCAAGACTCGGCTATGTCTCTAAGGTGCTTGCTCAACTTCAAGCACGTTAATTTGCATATAGTAGATGCTCCCCCAAAAAGTCAGGGGATGCTTCAATTCAGGAGATTACGCTTCCATTTTCCTTCCCTCTGAACTTCAGATGCACTTATTACAAATTTTAAATACTTGTGTGATTCTATAATTATTTCAGGTTTGTTCACTCGGCCTCCCCAAATAGACAGTGAAATCCCTGGGTTCAAAAATCCTCATGCTAACATTCTACTCTCTAAGTGTCACAGCCACCGACTCCCCGGGTCCGTTCCCAAGTGAACTGGGTGCAGGTTTTGGCTGAGACCCGACCGCTCCCCGTGCCCAAAGGATGGGCACCTGAACCCCAATGAGACCCCTCCCTGAAAACAAGCCGCCTCGCTGCAGCCCCTCCGTCCACCCAGAGCAGTGAGTGGGGTGACCAGCCGTCCAGGTTCACGTGGGAGGAGTGGGGACGAACCCCCGCAGGAGGCTACAACCGGGAAAGTCCAAGGCAAACGGGGAGGAGTTGGTCAGCCCAGTCACCACCACCTGTGACTGCCTGCACACTCATCGCTCTAAAATGTCTTTAAAGCTGGTGACATTCAGCTGCTGGCCGATTAATGTCCCATGGGGGAGCCCGAAAAGGAGAAGCAGTGGAACGGAGAGTACCTCAGAGATGTCCGGAGGAAGGTTGCCAACATACACCTCGGTCTCCCTCTTCTTGAACCCTAAGAAGAAAAACAGCATTAAGAAGGCAGGTGTAGCCGAAACCGGTTTGGCTCAGTGGATAGAGCGTCGGCCTGCGGACTGAAAGGTCCCAGGTTCGATTCCGGTCAAGGGCATGTACCTGGGTTGCGGGCACAACCCCAGTGGGAGATGTGCAGGAGGCAGCTGATGGATGTTTCTCTCCCATCGATGTTTCTAACTATCTATCTCTCTCCCTTCCTCTCTGTAAAAAATCAATAAAATATATTAAAAAAAAGAAGGCAGGTGTAAAGTGAGAAGATTCAAAGGAGGGGAAGCATGTAATAAGTGACACATTTTCTTCAATGTGAAAAACACCCCCCCTACAAGCATCCCTCCCCTCGGGAGCAATGATTGGCTACACTGCAGCCAGCCGCTCGGCAAGCACTTGTCATTGCTAAGAGGCCCGGGGAAAAGTGCTGGCCGAGGACATCACTGCCTCCAAGGCGGCAGCTCGCTCTGTGGGGGAAGGGTCACCAGTATCCCTGGAAGCCAGTGCTTCCAATGAGATGTTATGAAGTGTCTGGGTCCAGGGGGTTGCATTTCAGAGTTAACATGAAGCAGGGGTGGGGGGAAAGGAATCCGGGCAGAGGAACCAGCACGTGCAGAGGCAGGGAGCTATGAAAAGGCCTGGCGCCCGGGGGCAGCTGCATGTGGTTGGGAACAGCTAGCCGCACGTGCATGGGGGTGAACGTGAGAGAGGAGGCCAGGCCACATGGGGAAATCCGCTGGCTCCAAGGAGTAGAAGGTTTTCACCAGAGAGGTGACGCCAACAGCTGGGTTTTAGAAAGACCGCTCTGGAGACAGGGGAGGGTGAAATGGAAGAAGGTCAGCATTAAAGAGAAGCACGGAGTTAGCAGCAAACGCAACAGTGACCGGGGCTTGGGCCACGGCAGCAGCAGGGGGACGCATCAGCCATGTACACGGAAAGGTGGTGGCTGACGGGAGCAAGGGCAAGATCTAGGTGGGCCCCAAGTTCATGCAGGAACAGAAACCGAGGAGATGAAATAAGGTCCACGTATAGACGGAGGGTCCCAGCACCAGCCGAGCCCCCAGGCTAACTCACGCAGAGGCCTCTGCTCCTCCAGCACTCCCTTCTTCCCCAACGGTTCCGGTTCCGCCGAGGGTCGGTCACTGCTGCCCCAGAACCTATCAAAACAGGTCTCAGTGTCTCACCTCCCAGGCCCGAACGCCAACAAAAGTTTGGGCATCCGTCCCCAACCCCCACCCCCTTTCTGAGGGTTTCCCTTCCCCCCCAGACTCAGGTTCCAAACCAGGAAGCCCTGCACCGGACCTTTGTCATTGCTAATCAACAGGCAAGAAATGGTGGGGGTGACCCCTAAGCTCCGGGCACTGCGAGCAGGAAGAGAAGGAAGAGAAGGCTCTGAGGAAGGAGGCTTGTTTGTCACAAAAGGAAGTGACTTACATGCTGCAGTTTCTTCCCAACAGGATCTGCTGCAAAGCCAAGCAGCCGCGGTCAGAGGCGTGTCAGGAACCTCCACCAGCACTTAACTACTGAGCAGGTGCTGCGGCAGCCCCCAAGGGGGTCCGCGTACCAACCCCCAGCACCTATGAAGGAGTCCAGTCACCAATTCCAATGTGGGGTCCCCACACCACCAAGCAATGCTCCGGACACCAGCTGGCGTCCAGCTCCTCTACTCAGTTCTAACACCATCTACCTGGAAGGAGTGGGAGATTCCGTGGGCGAAGGGCTATGGTTATCAGCTGTGCTTCTGACCGGAGGTTCCCAAGACCTCCTCCCCTGGTTCGCTCCATTTGCTAGAGCGGCTCACAGCTTTGAGCAGCCAGGTGGGAGAGGGGCATAAGGCAAGGTACGGGGGAAGGGTACAGAGCTTGCAGGCCCTCCAGGGGAGCCGCTCTCCCCAAACCTCCCCTTGCTCACCAGCCCAGAAGCCCTCCGCACCCTGTCCTTTGGGTTTCTATGGGCCTCGTTACACAGGCAAGACTGAGCACTGGCAACTGGTTCAACCTCCAGCTTTTTTTCCCCTCCTCAGAGGAGGGGCAGAAAGAGGGGTGAACTAAGGGAAAACTGCACCCCTCTAATCATCTGGGTGGGTCCCCTGCCAACCAGCCCCCTTCCTCAGGGGCTTTCCAAAGTCACTCCATTCACATAACAGAAGATACCTTCATTGCTCTCCTCACTTAGGCAATTCCAAAGGGTTTAGAACAGAGCATTTTGAAAAACCCTAACTTAACTCTGATGCCGTGTCACATATAGAAAATTTTTGATATTTGCAACCATAGTAAAACAAAGACTTATATTTTTGATATTTATTTTATATATTTAAATGCCATTTAACAAAGAAAAATCAACCAAAAAAATGAGTTCGCATGTCACCTCTGACACGCGTGTCATAGGTTCGCCATCACTGCTCTAAAGGCTGGAAAAGGCAAAGAAACGGTTCTCCCCTTCAGCCTCCAGAAGGAACGCAGCCCTGCTGACACCTGGATTTAGCCCAGGGAGACATGTCAGACTTCTCACCCACAGAGCGGGAGTTTTGTTTTTTTGTGTGTGTGTTTTTTTTTAAATATATTTTATTGATTTTTTACAGAGAGGAAGGGAGAGGGATAGAGAGTTAGAAACATCGATGAGAGAGAAACATCGACCAGCTGCCTCCTGCACACCCCCTACTGGGGATATGCCCACAACCAAGGTACATGCCCTTGACCGGAATCAAACCTGGGACCTTTCAGTCCGCAGGCCGACGCTCTATCCACTGAGCCAAACTGGTTAGGGCGGGAGTTTTGTTTTTGTGAAACCACTAAACAAGTGGAAATTTGTTATAACAGCAAATAGAAAATAGTTACCACGAGCAAATTTAAAACCACATCCATCTTGCCCTGGCCAGTGTGGGTAAGTGGTTAGAGCATCTGCCCACGCACTGAAGGGTCTCAGGTTCATTTCTCAGTCAAGGGCATGTACCTGGGTTGCAGGTTTGATCCCTGATCCCAGTCAGGGCAAGTATGGAAGGCAACCAATCGGATGTGTCTCTCTCACATCAATGTTTTTCTCTCTTCCTCTCTTCCTCCCTCCCTCCCTCCCTCCTACCAGTAATCAATGGGAAAAAAACAATATCCTCAAGTGAGGATTAACAAACAAACACATTTAAAAACCACACCCACCTCCGCACGGTGGTCTGCGTGTGGCTGGCACGGGGCCTTTGGCTTGTAGAGATGTGGTTCAGAGTCCAGCCCAGAGCCCTGGGCACATTTTATCTGTCAAATGAGCCCTATGCCCCCCATCACCAGGGTGAGGGGCAGTGCTGTGCTTAAAGCTCAATAAGTGGTGGCCTTTGGCTTTCATTTTAGGCATTCCGCCGGCCCTTTCCTATGACCCTGTGGAGTGCTGACTTCTCACTTTACAGTGAAGGAAGCCTTGGTTCTTTTCCTACAGATACGACGGCTGTGAACCTCATAGTAAAGGGTTTTCTTCTTTCCTTTACTTAAAACGTTTAATTAAAACATGACATTTTTAAAGAACGTGGTAACTCTCTAACTGTTCCCAGCTGTAGCAGGAAACCACAGCTTTAGCTGCAACTGTCTTTAAATAGAACTAAACGTGATTAAGATAATTAAAAGACATTGGCAGAGGAAAATAAAAACAGAGAGAGGTTAATGGGCAGAATCAGGGTTGTGGGTGTTTGTCCCAATTTCATGGAACCCCCAGAAAAGTCTACTGGCTTCTGGAACAAGGCAGGCACCAATACCGCCCAAAGACCCAGCACAAATCTGCCAGGTGCTAACAGCTCATATACGTTGCTGTTGCTCACTACTCCTTACTGGAAGCTCTTAAGAGCTGTACATTATTACCCCATTGTACAGAGGAAGTCCTGGAGGCTCAAAAATACAATCATCTGGTAATTTGTTCAAGATAACGATCTATGCTCATTAATGGAGAACCCTGTTTTTGGAATCCAGACAACACCACTCTAAAGGGAGTTTCCACTCTATTGCTTGGCCCGGAGAAATATCTGTGTCTTAAAAAAGACAAAGAATATATAAAGAACCTGTATAATTCAATAACAACATAAAGAAACCAATTAGAAAGTGGACAAACGACCTGATCAACATTTCTCCAAAGCTATACAAGCGGCCAGTAAGCCCACAAAAAGATGCTCAACATCATTAGTCATTAGGGAAATGCAAATCAAAACAATGACAGCCTTGGCCAGTGTAGCTCAGCGGTTAGATCCTCGGCCCTCAGACGAGGGGTCTCCGGTTTGATTGCAATTCCCAGTCAAGGGCACATACCTCCCTTGCAGATTTGATTCCCGGCCCTGGGTCCCAGTCCGGGTGTGAGCAGGAGGCAGCCAGTCAGTGTGTCTCATTTATATTAATGTTTCTCTTTCTCTGTCTCTCCCCCTCCCTTCCACTCTCTCTAAAAATCAATGGAGCCCGGCCCACGTGGCTCAGTGGTTGAGCATCGACCTATAAACCAGGAGGTCACGGTTCGATTCCCGGTCAGGGCACATGCCCGGGCTGTGGGCTCGATCCCCAGTATAGGGCGTGCAGAAGGCAATCAATGATTCTCTCTCATCATTGATGTTTCTCTCTCTCTCTCTCCCTCTCCCTTCTCTGAAATCAATAAAAATATTTTTTAAAAAAATAAAAATTAATGGAAACAATATCCTCAGGTGAGGATTTTAAAACATAATAACCCACAATGACACCACCTCACACTATGATGGCTATAATAAAAAGGACAGACAATAATAATGTGTTGAGGATGTGGAGAATCAGGAACCCTCATATTGCTGGCAGAAATGTAAAATGGTGCAGTCACTTTGCGAAATTAGTTTGGCAGTTTCTCAAACAGTTAAACAGAGAATTCCATATGGCCCAGCAATTCCACTCCGGGGTATCTACTCAAGAGAAACTAAAACGTATGTCCACACAAAGCCTTGTTCACAAATGCTCGCAGCAGCCTTGGTGGGAACATAGCTTCAGAGTGTGACCAACCCAAAGGTCCAACAACTGATGTATGAATGAATCAATCAGATGTGGCATGTCCATACAATGGAATATTATTCAGCAACACAGAAGGAATGAAGTATTGATAAATGCTACCACATAGATGAGTCTCAAAAACGTGATGCTAAAGAAAATAATCCAGACACAAAGACCACATGTTGCATGATTCCACTTACATGCAAAGTCCAAAGTAGACAAATCTGTAGAGATAGAAAGTAGATTAGCGGCTGCCTGGGGTGGGAAGGAGGAGATGGGGACGAGCTGTAACTGCTAAGGAGCACAAGGCTGCCTTCTGAGGTGAGGCGATGCTCTAAAATTAGATGCGATGGTGGCTGTACTGTAAATATATTAAATATTTTAATTGCACACTTAAACCGTGAATTTTATGGTGTGCAAGTTATATCTCAATAACACTTTTTTTTTTAAGTCAAGAAACATTTTCAAAACTGGCTGGTGTAAGCAAGCAAAATCACTCAGTCCCCGTGGCTTGCAGTGAGGATTTAAAACGTATTGTATGAGCCTCTGTGGCACGTTTAGTTTTTTTAAGCTAAAAAAAATGTAATATTGCTTCCAAAAGCAGGGTGGTGGCAGAGGCCTCTTTTAACGGAGAGTGTCCCACAGTTCCGAGCAAAACGCTGCCCACCTGCACAGCTTCAGTCCCGCTGTCCGCTCCCCCCCACCCCACCATTCCCACCAAAACTCTCGGCAGGCGCCCCTTCCGTAACAGTGCACCCCGCCACCTGGAGTGGGAACGGGGGTGCGAGTCCCGCAGCTGCCTCCCACCGCCCGGGTCCCCACCACTCCTCACCCTGCAGCCCGGGGCCTGGAGCCAACGAGCCGCGCCTCTCCCGGGCCCGGCGCGGCCAGCCCACAGCCCCGACGCCGACCCTTGGCGCCTAATCGCTGCGCCCCCCCGCCTCCTCCAAGACCCGCGGGGCGCAGGGCGGGGCGCTCCTCCCGCCACCAATCCCGGGGCGGCGGCCGGGGCGGCGGGAAGAGCCGGTCCTCGAGGCGCGGGGCGGTGCTCGGGGTGGTAACCGCAGGAGCCCCCGCGCTGGAGCGAGCGAGCGCTGCCGGCAACCCCCCCCCATATATACCCCCCCCAAAATAACGTTCCCGGGGGGGCGTGGAGGGAGCGGACCGGCTCGTTGGGCTCCCTGGGGGAGAGGTGGGCTGCTTTTCGGGGTGACGGAAGCACATGGCGCACCCGGAGCGCATTTGCAGGCAGGCCCGGCCGAGCCCCCTGGTCGCAGACCTGGGGGCGCTCCAGTCTCGAGGGCCCCTGGCCGTACGTGCAGAGCGGCAATTCCTCCGAACGAGCACCCCGTACCAGACCTCGAAAAGCTTCTAAACGCTAGCACATAGAATCGTGTTTAGGCTTGTTTGTGCTAGGGTACGTGCAAATGATGTGCTAGCTTTGCTGTGACTAACGATCGTGCAACTTTAATAAGTTAGTATTTATGTATAG